TGTCTAAAGGGTTTTGAGTGGCTGACGAGACTAGAAAAAAAAGCTTCATAAATGCTTGTACATGACATTGTAGTACATAATATACCATATCAAAAGAACCTAAATTGATGGTTATAATGGAACTAATAACTAATATGAATTTAGGCAGGTTTGCAACCAAGCAGAGAAGTCTTCCAACATCCCAAATAATATGTCTGTGAAGGTTCTCAGTCATCCAGGTTATTGTAGTCAAAGGAGCTTGCAAAGAAAAGCCGTAGAACTGAAGAACTGAAGAAGCTTCTCGGATGAGAGGTGAAATGTCTTCAAGTAACTTAAAGAAGTCCAGACGCTTTTCTTTGCAAGGTCCTTTGACATCCCAAATAATAATTATGAAATCACCCTTTTTTAAAAAGTCAAGTACAGAACATGCCATGCAATCATTTGTTAATTAAAGCATTACAGAAACCAAAATGGACACTCCGATGGAGGGAGGAGGTCAGCAGCTGAGGTGGTGTTACTCAGGTTGGATGGCTGGCTTTGCGTTCTGAATTTGACGTTCTGATTCAACTTCTTTACTCAAGTAAAAGTAAAGAACGTAAGAAAGTAAAAAATAGCTATTTGAAGGACATTTCCACCAGCCATTTTTGTGCAAAGCTAACTGAACCTCTTGCTATATTAATATAATAATATTAGTACATGGGAACACAAAGTAATAATAATTATAATAATAATAAGTACAATCAGGAGGTGGGGAAACCCTAAGATTAGTTGTAATGAAAGAATAACAAGTCTAGAATTTCTGACCTGTGCTACTGCTGCTCTGATTTAGTGCTCTTTGTGGATTTATTTATACAACTCAATTCAACCAAATCTAACCCAATATTCCACAAACTGTTTTGTTTTTCTTTGGCTGATTACCATCTCCTACACTGACTTTATAGGGGAAAGTTTTTACTATCTTTATGCTAGTTGGTATAAAGTTGGTATGATGGTGGAATTCAATGAATGATTCTAAGTACCATCAGTTTAAATTCAAATTTATCTCTGCTCCACTTGATGTAACCTAACTCTGACCATGAGCACCTTACCTTTAAATCTAACCTCTCTTCTTCCTGTCTTGCCCTATCTTTCCTACAACTTTCTCCATCTGTGAGTGAAGTTATCTTTTGTTCTTTTCTCTCCATTCTCCCTACAGCAGCTGTACCTTTAGCTACAGTAGTAGACACACTCTGTGACTTACTGCACACAAACAGTTTGTGTTTTGCTCTGCAAACCTATTAAATGGAATTCCTTCACATAGAGTTTCAAACTCTGCGAGAGTCTATGGAGTACCGTTTGCAGCAGGTGAAAACACTTGCTGACAAAAACTCAAGACCT